CTGCTGAAAATGGAAGCTAAATCAGGGCACTTTAGCCCACAATGAAATACAAGCCACAATACTACGAACTATTTCTCCGCCACATCCCTAGTCATGACACAGGATTGGAACAGGAGTTCAGGCATCTTGTCCTTCATGGGATCCGTTGGCATTAGGTCCTCTTCACCTTCAAAAAGGCCTGAAAGTGGCTGCAGCCCATACCCAGATTACTTCCATTTGGCCACTCCCAAGTTAGCGCTTACAAGGTTCTTTCAAACACCGGCCTGAGATAGTTGGCTGACCCCATAAAAACACGTATCAGAACAAAATTAGACAAAAGAATGCCCAGGATTGCAAATACATTTTTGGTAACAGTCAATTGGAGTTGACAGCATCCCTTTAACAAATATATGAACAAATATTTCAAACCCTGCCAGCTCCGAGCCTGTTGCTAGTAGTGCGCATATTGAGGCATGATATTGTCTCAACAGCGCAAGAAGCCAAGCAAAGCAAGGTTCGATTCCAGCCCGCCTTACCCGTCAGGGCTCCAGTAAATGCACGCAGAAGAATTGCATTTGTAGTAACATTAAGGTCTGCCTTTTGTGCCAAGCCAATTTTATAGCCCAATACGATTTGCACCAGTTATTTAGGCATGTTATACTGTCACCAGACACATGCCCCCACCAAAAGCTTAGTCCTAAAAGGGAGGGCCCATATTCTAAAAGCCACAGATATTCACATGCTCAACAACACAAGAGCTTCAAACATATTAAAAGCTCAGAGGAAAAAGAAAAAAAAGGTGATAAAGCCCATCTTAGCTGATTACCAAAAGATGATGGTGAGTAAAGTTGGAATATTGCAGCACGTAAACAGGACTTATTGAATAAAGTACTCTCAGGAAGCAAACTAATTGCTGATCACAGATGCTGAACTGATAGCAGGGATAAATCAGTGTTCTGGTTACACACACACACCCCCCCCCCCCCACCCAACCCCAGACTGTTTGCTTCCCCCCCCCCCCCCCCCCCCCCCAGACTACAGCAAGGCAATGATCTCTCACATGTGTCTACAGCCTCAATTTCGACAGGCTCTCTCAACTTGCATTCAGTTCTTAGTACCAGCTATGTGCCCCCCTCCCCGGTTATGGGATGAGTTTGCATGAACAGGTGGTTGCTACAGGCTGGACTGAGACCACTGGCTCCCATTACACAGCCCAAAAGGCACACACATGGTAATGTAAGTATATGCAAATGAGTTCTCTCAAATCCAATACAAAAAAGAAAAAAAAAAAGCCCTTTCTTGTGGAGGATGGGCATTACTCACGTACTTCTCCCCCTGTAATTACATGTGCAGACAACACAGTCGAGAAAGCAGAAGTGTAGGGGTGGGAGGGCAGGGGAGGAGCACCAGCGGGTTAAGTGCCACGTTAAACATACAGCTATGTCATTTCCCTGCCAACCCCATTAATCTATTTGTAACCCTGCAATATTTGGAATGAGGATTTTAGAGATTTTCCTGCTGTGTTAGAAAAACAGACAGAGGAGTATAAGGAACAGCCCCTTTCTGCAGTCTCTCCCTGGCAAGGCTCCTCGGGGCCTATGAAGAAGGGAATGACGGCACCCTGCATCCAAGTACCATCAGAAGTACCATCCAGGCTGAACAAAAAGGGACAGTGGGTTCCTAGCCAGAGACGATGCCTTTGTACAGTGAGAAGTGTGCTGGGTCCCACACAATAAGGTCCTGGAAGTCCTTCTCGCCTTAGCACATAGGCAGCAACTGCTGGTCAAGATTTGTTAGGGCCAAAACAAGTCACTCGTCACAGCAAGCTGTCCCTGGCTGATCCTGCCTGGCTGCTCTGGGGCACAATGGATGTGCCTACACTGAGATCCTTCCAGCACTAATCAGCAATCAAACAGTCCTCTGCCCACTATCTCAGACTCCCCAAACCTGGAAATGCAATAATGAAGCCACTCCGGTGGGAGGGGCTGGAGGACGGTGTCCCACATAACTAGCCTCCCCACTGCAGGGACGGATCAAGAGCAGCAAGGTGGTATACTCACAAAGCAGCTGCACCACTGCATTTCTGGGTTTGGGGCATGAAAGAGAAAGAAGTTAGACAGGGCGTGCTTGAGAGCAGGCACTGCAAGCATTGCTGGGGACAGGGTGCAGACACACCGAGTTGTAAGAGGTTGCAGTTGTAGTATGCTATTACCATGACTATGCATTAAAGCGGGAGGAAGAGTGCAAGAAGGCTAGATGTGCCTCCATGAAACGCAGCTGCAGGAACCCTCGCTCCTCTGGGCCTTGATTTCACGAAGACAGGTGCAAATGAAGTCCTCTAAGCTAAAAATGACCACTAGAAGGCTGGAAGGGACCTCAAGAGACCATCTAGTCCAACCGGGAATTGAACCTGTAACCTTAGCGTTATTAGAACTGCACCCTAACCGAGCTAAACACCTGGCAACATGCTGAGCATTTTTCTAACTAAGTTTGGCCCACCACTATGTAACGGGCAAAGCTTTCCAGCATCTACCCCTTGGCCACGTTGCATCAGTGCTAACTTAACCTACTCGGTAAAATCTGCTGACCGCTCAGTGAAATGCTAGAGATAACACTTGGCTGACACTCATGAAGCATAGCCAGCTAAGGGAGAAACGTTGACCATCATGTGCTGCATTATTTGAAAACTAGTTCAGTTCCTGTTTACACTAAGATTTGGCCAATAAACTCCACGAAGACTTCAGAGATTGCCAGACAGCCCCACCCTTGCCAGGATATGATGCACTTTAAATGCATCCAAGAGAATAGGCAGACAAGGTTCTTTGGGTGAATCTGATATCTTTTATTAGAATAACTTAAATATTTGGAAAAAAAATTTTAGCAAGCTTTTGGGTTCAAAAACCCTTCGCCAGGCTGAGGAAGTCTCCGCAGTTGGTGTGCGCTCTTCCTGGATGTCAGCATAAAAATCCCACTACTCCTTGAATCCTCCAGCAAGGCGAATCTTTGTTTCTGAATTCATCTTGTCAAGGTTAGGCCAGATGCTTATTAAAACATCCATTAAAATGTTAATCTCGTGTAAGATAGTATTAACACAGAATTTGTGTCTACAATTAAAAAAAATACCCACCAGGCAAACTATAAGCACCACTGAAAACGCAAATCAAATTTGAGAATTAAAAAATCACAGCTTGACGTGGCATTTCCTCCCCGTGACAAATGTTATAAGAAGGCTATTACTCATCCCAGTGGGGTATACTCCACCCTGATAGCTGCAAACATGGCTCAGAGGCGAGCTATTCTTGACCCCTGCTTCTGTTGTGATTTTACTGTACTACAGAAGTAGTCGCCCACCTTTGCATCTTCACTGCTATACGGCAGGGCAAGTTCACTGAAACAGCCTCAGAGCCGTCTTCTGCCTGACTTTAGACCTACATGACTAAACTACCTCTCAGAGCTATTACACCACCGCCTTCCTGAAGCATCAGAGCTCTCTGGATTAGCACAGCAATTCACTTAAGTGGAGATTATAATTATTTTCAAATCAGACCTTTTATTTTAAAGGCAAACCAACAGAATAAAAAATGATCACTCCAGGGTCCTCCTGCGTACACGCAGCTCCTGAGCTGGACGAGTGCAG